TTCAGTAAATTAGCTGGTGAATAATTTATCCTTCACTGGAATATGCGCCAGTGACAAATTTGCAACAAAATTCTGAGTTTTTGATTCCTCTCTGGTCAATTGAGATTCAACTTGTGTGCACACTTGATCATTTTTTTAAAAGTACACTACCGTGACCTTTCTTTTTCTTTTTTGAATTGTTCAGCATCAGTATAATTTAAACTGTAACATGAAATTTAACGTATTTTGTTTTAATTCCTGAAGACTTTGCCTCCCTTTTGGATTTGGAATAGCTTACTGCTTTGTTTAAAAATCAACATACTTTGAAGGTTTTTCTCCTCCTCCAACTTTCTCCTGGTCTCCTGACTGCAGCCCCAATTCTGAAGATATTCACTCCTTGATGAGTTATGGTTCCAAGGCAGCAGTTGCTGTCTGATATTTTGCACAAGATTCAGTGTAGATTGATCCCTCATGATCAAAAAGCTTCCAAGGAAACAATGCAGACAAACACAAACCTGTTTCCCATTGTAGGCACCACTGAATAAAGATAAGTGGGATTGGGATACTAAGACAACTGGAGTAAGCACTTCAGCTCATTTTTTTGTGATCATAGGAACAGAAGTAGGGCACTAAACCTCTCAAGTTTGTTCTTTCATTCAGTGAGATCATGCCTGACTCATAACCTAACTTCAGTTACTGATTTTAAAATTGAAAACAGATCTAGCATCAATTGCTGGTCAGAAATGAGTTCTAGGCCTGCATTCCTTGCATGCAGTAGTCTTTCTTGACTTTGACGTTGAAATGTTTAGTTCATCATTTTTAAATATTGTCCCAAGTCCTTGTCTCCCCAACCTGCAGAAATAATTTCTCAATTAACTTTGTTTTTCCCCTTAACATCTTGAGAATTTTGATCAAAGCACCCCACAACCTTTTGACTTGTAGGGTATATAACTTCTGTTTTTCTAATTTCTCCTTGTAGCTTAATCCTTTTGTGTCCATTGGTATCATTCTGTTAAACCTGTACTCTGGTCAACCAAATGCCAGTGTACCCTTGACTTTGTATAGAACTCAAATTACTTCCGCCACTATTAATGTGGTCTAACCAGGAGTTTGTAGAGCTGAAGATCAGGTCTGTGACCTTTATTTTGGAGTAATCTAATCCTCTAAATATAAATAAAGACCAGCATTCTATTGGCTTTTTTGATATCCTACATCTGTTTGTGAAATTTTACCAGTGTGTGTACCTGGACCCCTGAAGTTTCCTCAAATTCAACTATTTATTGCTTTTCAACCTTAATAAAGCTCCCTGTTCATTCCTTTTGCAGGCCTCCTATTTCCCAACATTGAAATCCATTTGTATAGTTCTTCCCATCCACTTAATTTGTCAATCTCGCCTTTTGCCTTTATGCCTCCACCTGTACTGCTTGCTGTGCTACCCGCCTTTGAGTCATCATCAAGTTAGGAAATGTAGCGTTCTTTTCCATAATCTCAGTAATTAATAAAGACTGTGAATAGCTGAAGCTCCAGCAATCTGTTCCTTAAACGGCATCATTAATACATCTTTCCAATCAAAGTTCCAGTCCAATATTCCTGACTGCTATCACTCAATCAATTTCCTAAGAAGATCAGTAATTGTATTCAATTTCATAAGCTTTATTTAATGGTCTCCGGCAAGAGACTTTACTAAATCCCTTCTTGTAATTGATACAAACAACACCCATGGACATCTGCCTATCTGCTACTTTTGCTACCTTCTTTAAAAAAATTCAATTCAATTCAATAGGTTCCTGTAGCTTGAGCTCCTGTTTACAAATCCATGAACAATCAAGTGAAAACTATCAAGGTGTTCCATCACTCAGTAGTTCATTCCAACACTCATACACTCCAACAATTCCATGACAACAGATCTTAGGCTGACTGGTCTATAATTCCCTGGTTTCCCTCTCTCATCGTTCTTAACTGGAATGACATGCACAATCTACTGTCCTAGAGGAATGGTTCTTCAGCAGAGAGTGTTTCTAATGTTGTGGTTAGGTATCGCAAATATGCCTACCTATTTCCTTTTAAACCCTAGGTAGAAACCCTTGGATAGAGAGGGATTACCACTAATTACTATTTAATTTTTTGGTTACCATTATTCCGCTGATGTTAATTTTGGTGACTCCCAGTCTCTGACTTGATATTCATTTCTTAATATGTCTGGCGTTCTGACTTCTTCATCTGCTCTGAATACTGATGCAGTCTTTGCCAGTTCTTTGTTCGTTGACAGTATTGCCAGTATTAATTTTTAAAGAGCCCCACATTGCTCATGACTGTCCACTTTGCACTAATGTAAGATTTAAGGTTTTGGTTTGATTTCAGTCTTAAATAAAAGTTAATTACAATTCTGGACCAAGTTTGAGTGAGACAATCTACAGTTTACAAGTCTTGATTAGTTACAAGACCCATTCCATGAACAAGCATGTTTCACAAGTTTTACAATTTATTAAGTTTATGGTAAATACAAAAGAAATGATACTTAATTTTTTTTTTAAAAGTGGATTTTCAGTTGATCCACTTCATGATGCCAGTTCGCAAAGCTGGTTGACTGGATACAGGTCCCTTCGTCTGTTGACTGAAGTTCTCCTTCTGTCTTCCTCCCCCTTTGTACACTAATCACTAAGAATCACCATTTATTAACACTTGCTAACCACTACCCTGTGCAAGATCAAAGCTATAATGAACTCTAATTTGGCTTATTAAGCATTGACTTATTGAACAAACATTAGGTTGGCTAGGTAGTGTTGCCCAATTTCTGATTGGTCGTCTTAATGAAATCACTTCATTCCCTCTCCTTTGACATTTTTTTGACATGTCAGTCACTTTGTAGGATCATCCATTCTACAAGAACTTATCTCTCTTAACTTAAATCCACAGATCTTCACCCAGGTAAGGTAGCACCAGTAAACAATTTATGCATCAGCTTAGGGTATTATGTGTCACACTTTAGTGATTTATTATCATCCCAAATGTCCCAATTGATACATTTTGAATGCTAAAGGTGAATAGGGTGCCAATTAAGTGATTGCTTTGTTATGGATGGTATTGAGCTACTTGGGTGCTGTTGAAGTTATATTAAGCAAGCAAGTGAAAAGTATTCCATCACACTGTTTGCATGTATTATGGGTAGTGGGCAGGCTTTGGGAAATCAGGAAGTCGGTGCAAGGTATCATTGACAGTACCATTAAGTGGCACATACTGAGCATTAATCTGCTTAGCGATGCTCAGCTTGGGTTCTGCACGGAATACATGGCTTGGGACATCATCACAGCTGTGGAGCAAACATGGATATTGATTTGGCCTTTATATTGTCCAAATAGCCACTCTTGATGTGAATCAAATGGTGACTGTTAACGGGTTACTTGGCTACACAGGATGAGAGCACGCTCAGTGATCTTGTCAAACAGTGAATAACTATCATGTCGAAATGTCTCTTGCATGTGGGTAGAGGCCCATCAGCTGTCCGGACCTCAGGAAGCATCTGCACGAGGAGAGAAAATGGAGGCAAGGGCAAAACAAAGGCTGGAGATGTGGGTTTCGGGAAGGCTGGAGTTGAAGATGTGGAGCTTCTCCACAGCATTGTTTGCACAGTAAATCTCTAGCCACTGCTTCACTTAGCTCATCATGCTGCCCTGGGAGGGTCCCGTATTGGGACCAAAGCTGTTGCTGAGGCCCATTGCCATCACTGAAGAAGAAATGATCCACCTACTTCTCCAGGTTCATTTCGCTATCCAGCTTTCAAAGGCCTTGAATTGACCCTCAGCACTTGTGCTCAATGCAGGATATAATTCAGACCACTGAGTCATGGATTCTTCTTCCTTCTGATAACACCATATTTTTAGACTGCTTTATGCTGCTTCTGAATGAATTCCCCTTCATGTGAGCATGCTCTTTGTGCCAGTGGAGGGAATGTTTGCAGCACCCGTAGTTCTTGCCTAAAGTACACAGTTGCACTGCACTTCATTGACTCTAGATAAGTAGTTTTGTGAATCAAGCCCCACTATTGTGTGGGCCTTCACAAAGGTTTAAATTACTGATTTTAATCACTAATATGGTCAATTTGTTTGACTGTGACCACTGTCTAAGATGAAAGAAGTTCAGACCAGGTTTCATCAATAACAATAATATAAACATTGGTTAAATGATAAGTTTGTTATAATAAATACATGGTAAAATGTATTGTTAATTACTAAATGTAAACTTAAACTATGCCCCCTTTACTTCCAAACATGCTAAATTCATTCACAAATAAGGCAAACAGTTGTGCTGAAATAGTGTGAGTGCAAAACCTCGACAGAAAGGAGAAAGTTCTGTGGATCAAGATTCATAAGATTGTAGGTTCCACAAAGGTAGAATGAGGTAACTTTCACAGTCCTTTTGGTGTTTAGCGATGATATCCGGGGTTGTCAAGTCTGACGATAATCATTTTTGTAGCCGTTCATTTGGACCTCGAGTTTTCCTGAGTTAGAAATTCTTCTTTTCTAAGGCTTTTAATGCTGGCTTTCCCCCACGCACAATCCAGCTGGTTTATAGTCATCTGGAGATTTGAATGCAACTGCCCTCAGGCCATCCCTCAAACTAACATGAAGCAAATCCAAAAGCTGTTGCTGGGCACATTTTTTGGCCCGGGTATATTTGGGCTTAATGTGTCTGTCAAAATACAAAATCCAGCTTTTTGAAACATTACTTGTTCTTGTGTAACTGTTAAGTGACAACCATACAGTTCTGATTTTCCTGTGAGTTTAAAAAAAACTCCAAACTTCCAATTTCAAGTTTGTATCTCCAAATAATATAAATGTAGCCCTTGCAGTTGATTGTTGAGGCAGACTTGTGATGTTATGTTTACAGAGTAAGTGATAAAGGACAGGATCATGTGCAAACGCTACAGAAATGTATCTTGTGAACTTAAATAAGACCTATTATCAGTACTGTTTTTGGTAATGAATGTTTAGAGATAATTTTCTGAACAATTTTCTCTGCTCTGACTTTACAGTTTCTAGATTCTCCCTGTGGTAATGAGAAATCTTCCCATATGATATACAATGGAACTCTATTGGTATATGTAAGTACTATTTTAAAATATGGCAATGTTGGCATAAGCAATAATTACAATTACAATAAACTGTCACTCACTTCACACTTTTTCTCACTGCAGTGATTCAATGTTTTAGGCTACACCCAAACTCCCATTTAATTTTTGAATAAAGGTCTTGTGGAGATATGGGATACTTTTGATCATAATTTTGTGATGTTCACTTCACTGCTTCCACATTAATCTTGGTACACCTTGAAAATGAGCTCATTATTGTTGTCATTTTCTTTTTTTTTTATAAGTATTTATCTCCTGAGAAAAAACTGCTGTTAGCTATCATTTTATCCATCCTGAGGATCCTGCCTCACCACCATTGCTGTTAGTTTTTAATAAGCATTGCTCTGATAATGCTGCATATCTTTGCTCTTGTCATTCCCACTCTTGGTGAGCTAAAAATTTAATTACAGTTCCTTTTTTACTTTCATTTTAAGGATGCCAGTGTGCTGCTTATAAAAAGATCAGCATCTACATTTTTTCAGCTTTGAAAATACCTGTAGAGCTAGTTTTCTAATAACAAAGCATGCTTCACTTAAGCACCTGAGTGCTTGCTATATATGTAACTTATAAAGTGAGTTTAAATAGTTGATTCAAATCTGCAAGTTCTATAACATCATCTTGGCTTGGTCCTTGGGAACAGTATTGGTCACAAGTTATAATTGCTTCCCATTTGCCCATTTTGCAAGCTCTGTTGTAAGGATATGGAACCTGTTTTAATGAATTACCATAAACTAACTTATGTAGCACATTTTTCTATCTCAATGTACTAAACTACTTTGCAGCCTATCACTAATGTAACTTAAGATGGTATTCAATTTGTGCATAAGATCCCACAGATGCCACAAGTAATAATGTAACTGTGTATGTTTTTGTAATGTTTACTGAGGGATATGTCTTGACCTTGCTCTTTTGCAAAATAGTACTATGGAATCTTTTATTTCGACCTCAGCCATTTTTTAACATCACATCTGAAAGATGATACCTCTGACTGTGCAGCACACTCTCAGTACTGCTCTGAAGCGTAATCATAAATATTGTACTCAAAATCCTGGAGTGGAACTTGAATCCACAATCTTCTGACTCTGAGGCAAGAGTGCTACCATGAACAGCTAATAAATTGCAAAGTAGTGAAATATTTAATTTCTTTGTAGGCAGCTAATGATGTAATGCAGTGGCATGTAAAAGAGGCCAGTGCATTCTGTAATGCGTATTTTAGCTTACTTTTATATTTATAAGGCTATTAATTCAACTGTTTTGCTAGAGGGTTGGGTATTTACTAATGAAAGAAATATTTCATGGCCTAATGAATTTTCTTTCATTCCAACAGAATAGTGATTATATTTATTATTGTCAAAATCTTCTTCTACATTTGCTGGTATCGCTCAAGGCAGCGACAACTAGATGCTTATCTGAGCAATCCACGGAATGCCCAGATAGTGATTGTCGGAGGCAGGGCCTATCTACATCAACTCTGTGAACGGCAAAATGTAAGTGGCTATTGTTCCCCGCTTCCTTGTGAAGCGTTGTGTGCAATTTGAACATAATATGCTTTTTATTGAAGACTGAGGCAAAGATGTCACTGTAAAATTGTTGAATGTAAACTTAATGACCATATTCCTATTGGGTGATGAAGATAATAAAGAGATGAGGGAATGGGATAATGATTGAAAAAATAGGTCCTCTTCACAGAATCATAGAATTCTTATGGTATTTCCTTATTCCTGAATGTTTCATTAGGATTGAAAGCTTCAATTTTCTGTGATGTTGCAAAAAGTTAATTTTCAGTAATGTTGAAATCAAAATAGATCCTACTGGTCTTAATTCAATGATTGCTTGATTCTTCCTCAGCTTTTAAAATTGAACAGTAGAAATCTACCAGTCTATGTAGACCTTCTTTTGTAAAATATGACACTTGAATGTTTTATTATTCTTTTTAGAATATTTCATGAATATGTTTGAAAATCTTTACCTATTATTGAATTGTACGTGACTGTCAAATATATGTTGAAATAGTTGGTCACAGTTTACTCAGGGTTTGCTTGAGAAGTCGCCCCATATTGCATGTTCTTAATGCAATACCATGGTTTTGTTTCTTTGTTCTGCTTAATGATATTGATGAGTTGAATCTTAACCTCGTATCTTGTTTCAGTATTAGTTTTTTTGACCATTGTTTCCATCCTTTTCCAAATTTAACATTTCAAATTCTACATCTCTGATGCATCGTCAATTTAAGTTATGCCACAATGCTTGATGATCCCTCACTTTAATGAGTTTAACAATCATCGGACAAAAAGTTAGCCAGAAACTTTGTTTACTATATTGTGCCTCTTCACAAATGAGAAATGGATTGTGTATCTCAGCAATTTAGAAAAAACCCATTGGTTAAGGGTGAGTAAATACACAGATGGTTCAACATATGCCACCACATCTCGTAGAATCAATTAGTGCAGGTAGCTATTCAGCCCATCACACGTGTGTTAATTCTTTTAAAGTCTTTTTCAATTTGTCCCACTTCCTTGCTCTTTCCCTAACGCAAAGAATGTTTCTCCTTTGCGTTTTTATCCAATTCCCTTTTGAAAGTTACATCTAAGGCTGATCCACGATTTCTTCCAATCATGTTAAAGTTTTTTTTTGAAACAAATCTCATCTCCTTTCTGGTCCTCATTTCACTTGTCTTAAACCTATGTTCTCATTATTTGAACTGGAGCTAATCACTTGGTTTGATTGTAAAAGACATGCCAGACTACTTAGATTGTGGTTGAATACATTTCTACTGTTGTTAATGGCCCAGAATGCATCATAGCAGCCTAGTTTTCAGTTGGCAGATCTCCTTCTGATACTGTCATAATCAACTGTATCTGTGACAGGGGTTGGATTGGTGAGAACAAGGTCTCACTACTTTTTCCCCCTTGTTTCCTTCACCTGTCACAGGAACAGTCTAGCAGAAGAGTCCTCCAGGATTTAATCACTTAGTTCCGTAGTGGTGCTACTGAGCCAAGCTTGATGATATTAAATTCCAATACTTCATTTTCTGCTTTTTCCATTCACAGTGATTCATTCAAGTTCTGTTCAATATGGAGGAATCAATATGGACTGAGGGAGGGTGATTGGTGTAATCAGCAAACTTCACTGTCCATGAAAATGTCACTGGTCTGGAGTAAATGTTGAGAACACTAAGGACAGCTCTCTCCCAACAGCATACAATTGTGCTGTCAATTCCAGATTTTAAAAAATTAATTACATCTATTAATTAATTGCATTTAATCAGCAGCTGCCTTGATGCAATGAAAGTGTCGCCAAAGAAATAGCCTGGACCTCTGGATTACCTAGTCCAGTTCTTTTACCACTATGTTGCCATTGTTACTGGATATTAGATAAATTACTGTATTAAAATTGGCTTTTAATCTAGTGTTGTCTTAAGTTGACTCAGAGGTAGCTCAATGTTTTGAGTTTTTAACTCACTGTAACTTGATGGAGGCATGTCTGTAGCTTTACAGTTTATTCATTTTAACTTGAATTCTGGAAGCCTTGTGTAGGAGGGAGAAATCCAGTGCTTTTACTGAGTGAGTATCTGTTATAAATTAGGAATTTAATAAGTTGAACAAACTAACGCTTCAGTCTGCACCCTTTACTTAAGTTTCCTGATCATTACAAACAAAGAGAAAAATAATTTTATAAGCAAAAGAGAAAGAAATCAGATGATTAGCTGAAACCATCATGCCCTCCTGATTCAAATGAGCTGTCAGTAAGTATGGTGGCCAGCCTAGAAAAAAAGGAGGGAAAGTTAAGTAGGGACTGTTTACAATGTTTTATGAAGAGTTTTTGTTTTAATTGTAAGCACGAAAATTGAAATTAAGAACTTTCAAAACCAGAATTAATATTCAAAGGTTGATTTGCTTTTTAATATAGAGCATTGTGCAGGTTGTGTCATTGTTCAGTGGCTATAAAACCAGTAATAAAACTTCCAATTAAAAAAACCACTCAAGAGTCTCCACAATGTATTGACAAAACATATGGGAGAATGTTCATCGACCATAACTTAAAAAATGAATCCTGGTTAAAAGCTACAGTCTGTCTTGAAATGGAGTGTAATCTGCTGATTCCACTACAATTAGTTCAGACTGGCCAGGGATGAGGGAGAGGTTGGAAACAGAAAATATAACTGAATAATTACCGGAAATGTTTCAGTAGGCAAAGCAGAATTCTAAAGCCAGTATCTCCTCTGTCTTTGTGAAACAAGCTCAGCGATTGTAATTTGATATTGGCAATCTTGAAACGTAAGTAGCATATGGTGTGGCAATATAAATATGAATATTCTGAGCACTGGATTTTCCAAATGACGTTTTTTCTTCCTTTTAAATTTTGTGAACTTTTTATCATCCAGAATATCCAAGACCCTTTTTGACACATTCTGTAGTCTTCACAATGAAGTGTTGCATATTGCGTATGTTTTCCATTTAGCCTTTTGCCTATTTTCATTTATATCCGACAAATAAAACATAAAATGACTGTGTAATTATAGCACAAATTTCAAAATAACTAATGAACATATTTAGATGGCTGTTAAGACTATAACTGTACATGTATAGCAGAAGCTTTTTGCCTTGCAGACATCAGAATAAACACAGTGCGAAATTTCAAATGATAACAATTTATACAATGGAGAAAGGATATTGGTTGGTTGGCAAGTTCATGGATTATTTTCAATGGCAACACCTCTTTCAACCAATGGATAATTATAGGCTCCATAAACTCCTAAAATATACAAAGCTTGATGTAGCCCTTTTTTGTTTGCAGGTCTCTGTGTATCAATGCATATAGCATCTAGTATGTTTAAATAAGTTACACTTAAGGACTAATTTAAAATGATTGGTCATACTAGCCATTAGCACACGATGGATTGTTCAGCAAGTGCTACCCATTGCAAAATCCCCTGTAAAAGTAGACTGGCTTTCAGTAATATTGTGATGTCAGATATGTAGGTCATTTGGCCCAATGATTAGCTGATTGAATCAAACGTCATACACCTTTCATTCATAATAGATAGAGCACAGTTCATACTCAAGAGCCTGTGCTTGCAAAGCCCAATATAATACATCTACCATTAGATGTGATTCCATAATTCAGCAGCAATTGCCTAATCCCTTGGAGAAGCTGATGGTAACCTGCATTCTTGAACTGCTGCTGTCCTTGGGATGTACGGGAACCCACAGTACTGTTGAGGAGTGAGCTGTCCATTTTTGATCCAGTAACAGTGAAGGAACAATGATTGAATTCCAAGTCAGGATAGTGCACGGTTTGGTAGCCACGTTGCCATGCACCCTTGACCTTCTAGGTGGTAGAGGTTGCAGGTCGCTGTCAAAGAAATTAAATATGTTTAACTTCTCATTTCTCAATTTGCATCAAATTTTCATTCGATGATGGGTTACTTTTTTTAATTGCAGAGTCCTATGTGGTATAGCTGGTATGGTGGTCAGGATGACAGCTCTGTTGGTGAACCTTCTGGGTCATTACCTCCTGCTCCTTCTTACAGTCAATTAGAGGTACCACCACCATATGAAGCAGTGTCAAGAGCTCATTCAGGTAGGATATCAATTCCTAATCCTGGAAGTTTAGTTCAAAGGAATGTTTCACTTTGTTCATTTTATAGTTAGTATTTTATGAACAAATGGTGTCTAACTGCTGTCAAATTGCAAGTTTTGTAGCATGCTTAATTCGCTAATGAGCCAACATTTTAAAAGTCACGCTTGCATTGTGTTACACGTTTTTCTTTTAAAGTACTTGCTCAACTGCTTTAGTTTCTTCTGGTATTTAATCTATATCCTATGCAAAGGAGATACAAATAATACAAATGCTGTGTGTTCCCTTGACATTGTTCAAAGCATGGTTGGACAAGTGCTTTAGTTAAAGCAAAGTCTGGGTGTGTCACTTTCTGGCTTTCTCTTGTGAAAAAGTAAAACCAGACTTTGTCTTGGTCGCTCGCTTGCTCGGTGTCTCTCTCTCTATCTCTCTCTGTCTCGTTTGTACATAAAATTTGTGCATACTGGAAGTTTAAGCAAAATGCTCACAAAATTTTCATGCTTATTGCCTTATAAATATTGATAAAACAGTTTCAGGATCTTGTGCAGTAACATTGTGAATGAAGAGTATTTTAAGAGACAGGTTTTCCTTTTTGTTTGCCTGCACAGATGATTTGAAACCTCCACCATATACGGAGTATGCAGCCGGTAGTATTGAAGAAACTCGTGCCCTCTCCATACCAGAAGGGTATGATGCTTGCAGCTTGAGCGATGCTCCTCCTCCATACACTCCTCGCCCATCAGTTGACGCTGAACAGCAGGATAATGTGACACAACCTAATTCCCAGGAGTCAGGCGGTACCACTACAACAGGCTCACCATGTGAAGTCTGAAAAAAGAAAATCCACTTCCTGGGACTTCTGTGGAAAGTTATTTGGTTTTCTTCAGAAAAATCCAAAGCACCTGAATTGTCCCTTTTTTTTGGTTTTGTAACAATTTGATTTTTTTTGTACAGTTTGAGACATTTACAGTGATGCACTACATAAGAATGCATTGTTCACTGTTTGCTGCTATCAGCACTACCTTCTCTCTTTGCAAACATTACTCGCACTTTCCAAGGAAGAGCCCAAGCAAAGGATCATACCTGATTGCAAAAGATTGTACACTTGCCAGTGCCTACAATATGTGTACCCCAGTGCTGAGAGGGTGGGGGTTGCTGAGGCTGAGGGATTGGTTGGGTTGAATAAGAGAAGTACTCAGCCATGACACCTGATGCTGCCAAGCAGGGAGACTGCAAATTTTAAACCATGAGTGATGTCTCAAGTACTCGCGGTTACAGATAAACAGGAGGTGAGCTTTATCTGGTGGGCACTAGGATCACCTTGTGTTCCAGTGTTATCAAAGTTTCTTCAAGGTCATTCCTTGCATTCTATACTTTGTGATGTTTTGCCAAGACTGCATCTTTGCCTCGAAGGAAAGAAGCTTCCTCTTGACAACATGAAGGGACACCTTCAATTTTAGAGGAATGCGCAAAAGTGTAGACTTTAAAGAAGACCTTTTTGTCCTAATAGTAGTTGCTAATTTGCTGCAAAAAATGTATTTTTTATAGTAGTGTATTTTTTTTAAATTTAGGTGATTCAACAATACTCCAAGTTCCCTTCCTCAGAATACCAAAACTTTCACCTTAAATATTAACATAAGACAATCCAATTGTCTCATTATTTACACAGAAACCAAACCCCTTTGTTACAGACTTTTAAAGCAAAAGAAATATTTGCTATATAGATGGTGTTGTGCATTGAGATCTGTTTGATTCCCTGAATTATGAGTGGACTTTGTTACTAACGCTAATTCTGGTAAGCCCATTTGCTATTAGTATTCTGAAACATATCAATATTTTCCCACTTTTGGTTACAAGTCTGTATTTTGGTAAGACTTTAAAATAATGTACACTCATCCCAGATACATGGAATGCCAGGATTGAATCTAGATTATTTGCACGGATTTATGTCCTGTGGTTTTAGTTTAAGTGAACTGAATTTTATTTCAGATCTTCAAACTATTATTTGTACTGATATATTTCTCCCATGCATTAAACCAATCTCCAAGGCATGTTTGAAAGTTTATATATTTTTTAAAAGGTTATTTAATTACATGGATAGGTAGCTTTGTTGATCATGTTTCTTGTGGATGGTATTTCAAGAATCTCTAAAATGTAGCCTCTTCTACCTGAACATCCCTATTTTAAGAGTTTTCTGTTCTGGTAATGGTCACGGTTTCCTTAATTTTATACTTTACGGTTGGTTGAAATTTAAAATTGAATTTGACAGTTCATTAGACCTGTGTAAATGTTCAGACCAACTTGTTGGATTTGCTAAATTATGTAGATTTTTAACCAACAAATACAGTTTTGCTGATTCTGTCTAAATCTGTCTTTATTCCTCTGTTTTGTTTTTATGGTACTTTTGTTTGATACAATTATTCTTGATCAGTGTCCACAACATAGAAAGATTTTGGCAGTTTTTCTTTAAAGCGATAAGAAATATGTCCCATTAAATGTTTTTATCTCGTCACCAGCATGCAATTAAACTGAAAGATGGAAGTAAACAGTTGGAGCTCAATAGAAGTGTTTTGCAATTTTTTTATGTCTCTCTTCTCTTGAAGGCTGACTCATACTTTGAATTTCCCACAGCCAGCCACCCTCTGGAATATCTGGCATGTGACCCTTTTCATGGCTGTGGTTGTTAGCAATAATATTTTCTTCAAATTGGGCTCAGGTCATTGATAAACTTAAGCCCAGAAAAAAAAAATACAAAAACAATTTTAGTCTATTTTTCCACTGTATTCATTTGCAAGTTTTCAGTTTGTCCAGTTGAAAAATTCTTGGGGTGTAAGAGAGAAAAGGGATTGTTTGCTGGTTGACAGAGTGACAAGTGACAGTCCCAGTGGTCTATGCTGAACTTTCATTTTTTCACCAATTTTATTTTCAATAAGACATATAAGGAATACAGAGTTGAAGGAATACAGTGTTTAAGATTGAATTTGGAAGATAACCCTAAGGAAGTGCAGTAAATTAGAGCCATGCTATCTCAGAGTAAAATTAGGAAGCTAGTTTTCACACCAAGTAATGGAAGTATGCAACTCACTCCCCCAAAAGGTGTGGGCTGTTGCTGAATTGAACTGTTCAGGATGGAGATTTTGTTCTAGTATATGTATCAAGATACACAGATGAAAGTTGGGTAAATGGAGTAGATCGGCTATGATTTCATGAAATGTCAAATCAGATATGAGGAAATGAGTGGCCTGCTCCTGTGCTTATGTTCAGCTGTTTGCAGCTACAAATTACTGCAAGTAAGTTTGCAAGTTTTCTTCCACTTGAATTGGGTGATAGATTCCTAATCTATTTAGGTTATTAAATATTCATTTGCAGTTTGAATACTGGCATTGATGTACCACTAATTCTGATGATGTAAGCCAAGGCAAAACTTGAAGTATCTCTGTCAAAAACATCTGGGACTTGTAATAAAAAACGAAAGAACTGCTGATGCTGTAAATCAGGAAACAAAACAGAAATTGCTGGAAAAGCTCAGCAGGTCTCAGTTGGGAGTTGTAATAGTTACCAATGGATCTCCTAAGTCATTGGGTAAATAAAATGTTTAGTTGTTTTATCACAACAGGGCATTATAAATTTTGGTATGCAGTGTAATATTCTAGTGCAGATTAAAGCTTTGTCCCTTTTAAGACCAAACCCAATAAATAGGTAATCAGAGATTACTTGCTGGATCAGGAGTTGTCCTCGATAACGTTATGTTTCATACTGCAGATGAGAACTACAATGTGCTTTCCACGCCCCTCTAAAGTGTGACTGCTGAGGTTGTTTTAACTTAAGCGTGCATTTAATTTGACACTGGCAATTTATTGTTAAAGAAAAAAAATTGCGGGAGATTTTGCATTTCAGACTTCTCAAAAAAGCTGATTTGCAAGTGCTTTCAAACAGTCAGCTGCACAGTGTTTGACTATAATAAAATGTGATTACCAGACAAAAATACACACATGTCCTGTTTTGTTATATTACTGGTAAAATACCCCTGGAGCTGTTTATAATATTTCACAAGAGCAGGAACATTCGATAAAGGCTACAGTGTTAATTGCTGTTCTTTAAACACTGGGCTCGTAGGTCAAATAAAAGACTTCAGACACCCTACCTCTGTTTTGTTCAAGAGTTTCCTAGTTTCTTTAAACTTTTGAATGTTACAACTAAAATGTAGCAGGAAATGTATGCTCTTTTTTGTAATGTTTGTAAATTACCCATAGTTGTCCAAGAAGAGTAGAAATTAAAAATACACACACAAAATGGGATTATAGTTGGAAGTTTTCTGAAATATACTCCACAGTGACACCTGTTGACCAGCATATGCAACTACTTTAATGCAGCCAACTTTTGACACAGTTTGGTAAATTGTTCACAAGAATATTTGTGACCACAGGAAATGAGTGTATACCTGTGATTAATGTATAGATAACTTTATGTATAAGTGGATAAACATCAGAATGTTGAAGGATATTTAAATACATGAGATTTTTATAATGGAGTTTAGTTTTGTTATGAAGTGTCTGAATTTACTATTTTTGCTTTCGTATTATCATCCTATTCATGGCATTTAGTCATTTTACTCCTCACTAAATAGAAGTGTGACCCATATCTTGACAAAAATCAGTGTATATTTTAAATGAAACTAGATAAGATTTTGCTTTGTGTTCATCCTAAGCCTTTTGAGAGAGCATGGCGCCAGTGTAAATTACTTTTTGATTCTGAACAGTGTCTAATCAACCACCATAGATTTCTCGGAGACAGCAAGAATGCAAAAGCTGGAGTCAGAGTCAATGCAGTGTGGAGCTGGAGGAACACAGCAGGTCAGGCAGCATCAGAGGAG